CTTACATTTCAATGCCCTGCTTTCTCGCTTTGGATCTGAGTTCAAGGATTTCGTCAATGATTTGCTTCTGTCCCTTTCCGATTTCCAACTTGTGCACGGAAGCCAAGAATCGATCTAAACTGCCGCCTTCCATCAAGTCTATTAGATGTTGCCCTTTGTCCTCATCACTCGCCTCCACGACCGCTGCTGCAGATTTCTTTCCATCACCTTGTGTATCCTCTTCTCTTATTGCCAGGTTGGAGCCACTTTGGTGTCTGATGCGGCCACCGGTGTCAGGATCAGAGACACCGGCATCGGAGCTAGGACAAGTGCCCTTGAAGGAGCCGCCAAGGAGGTCCAGTAATGAGGCCATAGAATGGCTGCGCTTTGCACCGTTCTTCTCCTTAGGGGAACTGGTTGGTCCTTCTCCATCGGAATAGCGGCCCTTGGTGGGCGTCCAGTCTGGGTGACGATCACAGATCCTAAGTATTACCTCTTCGGCCAACTGAAAAGTAGCAGTTTATAAATAAGAAGCAGTACACTATTCAAAGAGCTTATGAAAATAAAGTAGGGAGGCAATTTCCGACTTATTCATTAACCCCGCCAAACCACATAGGCACTTAAACTGCATTTTTAACTCCTTTTAATTGTTAGTCGCTGCACATGAGCTGACGTGGACTGTGAAGTTTAAGCACCAAAATAAAGGGGAGAACTCCATTTCTATCCTCACATTGGGATAAGTCAGTGGCGTGTCTACTGAGGTATCCACACCTGCCAAGTAAAAATAAGCTTTGGTATATAGTTGAGATGATAACATTATAATCAGATGGCAAGACAGTAACGGTGAACCTATATTACCATATTTTCCTTTTGACACATCAAATGCGTCGGCAGAACATATCGTAGGAAGAATATAGCATGCAAATTCTGCTTTTAAAAGATGGAGATAAACATAACAGATTTACAACAGCTGCCTTCATGGGAATGATTTCGGGATTCCCACTAATTATAACATTTTCTTCAAAAAAGAATAAACGGCACGAGTCCTCATTCCTTCAGGCATTCCCTCAGTTCTTTGAAGTAATTTCGGACAACTGGCCTGATTATGAATTGACTGTGTGATGGCTTATAAAACTGGTTGCCACCAACCCTGTTAATAGGATTCTGTTGCATGAAAATGTGAAGTTTTATCACAGTACGCGGGAAATTTAGGGGTAATTGACGTTACTCATGCCAATATTGTTCTCATGTTAGATCTAGTGTTCGACTAAGAGCCTCTGCGAAGTTTACTAATCCAAATGTCTGACATAATTATTAGCAACGATTTTGTACTATGTGGCCACCAGAGAGGCATAAGTTGTTCAGGCATTTCCTTTGCAGGATATTTAAGAAGTGCCCATGCCAAGAGTTAAAAACATGTACAAATGACGCAGGCAATTTAACAAACTAGAAGCGTTGCATATTATTTGGCGAGGTGTATATTTTCTACTGTTTAGAAGAGGGTTCAGGATTAGCCTCTAAATGATTCTCGGTCAGAATACCCTTCTCTATTTTATTGGAGTTGGCAGAGTGTATGGCAGAAATGGATGGATGGATGTTGATGGATGCATTGCATTGCAGCAAGGATTCGGACAATTGCTTTTGCCTCCATCGCAATATAAATAGCGCATCAACTCATGCTTAGTACAACCTTATAGAGGCATACCTGCGCCCAAATAATAGATAAATAGTTTTGAAGTTAAACCTACTTCTATAGGAAGTAAACGGTCGTCTGAATCTGAGAGGCAATACTAAATCCCAAATA